GTGTGTGTGTGTGTGTGTGTGTGTGTGTGTGTGTGTGTGTGTGTGTGTGTGTGTGTGTGTGTGTGTGTGGGTGTGGGTGTGGGTGTGCGCACTTATTCTATTCTCTTGCTCCTCGTATTCTCCTCCATAGTACTTATTAAAGTGAAATATGATTCGACTTTGTCAAGAATATCCACAGGAGAACTTGCCTAAGATATTATACAAGAACAAATAACACTCACACAAAACCGGAGTTGCTGAGGGCTTTTTCCGGTAGCTACAGGGCTCTCCATGTATCCAGCCAGTTCCCGTATCCTGTATGGCATACTATGTGTGCTAGGATCAGTGATTTTAATTTATCTGTGAGGCGTTAGCACAGACAGTAGTATTACCTAACCTGAACAACAAGGGTGGCATTATTTGTGCGTTCGAGCCGAAATTCGAAACATGTTTTGGCCGTGACTGTGCAGTGAAATTTCTGCTAGCACTTACTTATCCTCTTGTGTATCGTCTGTGCATGTAATGTTGAGCTATCTGAATTGCAGAAGTATTATATTATATATTTCTCTGTTTCAGTCATAGAGTATCTGACTGATTTCAAGTTTAAATTCATGCATTTTCTACTATTCGGCTGAGTATTCGATGACGTTTTTCTTGTATCAGTGATTCTGTGACTCAGATTGTTTTTATCCTGAATTACCAGCACCATAATAATGTCCATATCTATGGTGTTTGAAGAGAATTCTAATCTTCATTAAAACGAACCTATAAGATTTATTCATAATAGTATAATGATATTAGCAGCAGTTCATGGCAACCAATGGCATCTATAAAAAATATACATATTGATACATATTTTATTATTTTCAATACATTAATTACAAAATAGGCAGTACATTGTACTATAAATGTACCGTGGAGATAGCGATGACTACTAAATAGCTAAATATAATTACAGCAAAAATATTACTAATGTTATTAATGTGCATTCGTGTGTGTGTGTGTGTTTGTGTGTGCTCATACTTCTGGTGGTATAGGGTACAATGATGCCAGGGAATTTATGTTTTATGGTCTACCATTAATTTAAAACAAATAATGACAAGTATAATCATTATATATGTCATTACTAGGAAACTAAGACATTTATCGTTTTTTTAACTATCTCCTTTTCTTTATTATTATTCTTCGATAACTACACACTTCTAAAGTGAACATGCAGAAGATATTGTCAGTATTCTTCTTAACGTTATCTATCTAAAATTAAGAGTTAAATGACAAAATCCGGCACCTCTTCGACCTTGGTAAAATCTTGCTCGAAATAGCAGAGATAATTTTTTTTCTTTATCGATCATAAAATAAAAAATATATATGCATAGTATCCTGGAATTAGACAAGTAAACATGATGAGATAATGATAACACGAAATAGTAATATCGAGCACCAGCATGTCAGTACCGTAGCACTAGTGTAATTATCATGCACCGGCAACAGCAGAGACGTTTGTCGTACCTCAGGCAGGAAGATGCTTTTCATTCAGCGAGTTCCTTGCATAGAGGAAGGAGGCGTTAGAGAGATATATTGAAGAAGTGTGTTATCTATTAAGGTAGGACGACGTAGCTCATATGTACTTGTACATTTTTATATTTAGATTCGTCCAATTATGCATACGCACATGAGTGATACATATGCATTCATGCGCACTCACACGTGTAGGCGGAAATAATCGTGTCTATCAAAATATTAATTTGCACTTCTTGAACATTAGGAAATGGGTTCCTAGAAATGTTATAGAATGAAATAAACAATGCTATCGTTACTGTCGCAGAGGGTTGCGTTATAGATTAATGAAAGCATCCTGTTGCGTGGTAACTGCAGCTTGAAAACGGCAAGTAGGGGATGACCGTGTTAATTCGCACAGGGGATGATTTATGTTAATTTTGTGGCAATACAGAGGCTGCGTTGTGGTCTCTGCTTTTTAACTGTTTTAATCAGGTGTAGTATCATTCTCTGGATGTTAAAATAATTAAAATCAGTCAAAAAGATGTGTTGCATATAAGTTGGTTATACCAAATACAGATACAAATAACACAATTATTTACATTTGCTCTCATCTTTAAAAAAATAATGGCAGATCTCCCCTAGCACAAGCTAAGCGAAAACACACCTTTCGCGCTGCTCATCACCGGCATAAATAACTTTCCCTCCCGTGACTCAGCTAACCGAGACATCGAACGGACTCCTCAAACGTTCCCAAAAGGACTCATTAAAAAAAAGTCCTTCTGAAGTGCTCTGCCAAGGACTTCGCTCAAAGGGACTCTCCCGTGATGAGCCGGAGTTCGAAATTCGACCGACGCGCAGCTCTGCCCGTTCTGCACACGCGGGGGACGCATTATGAGGTTGGCTTTGACATTGTAAGTAACTTTTATCTTTTTTTTTGTCGGTGTATATACAACTCTATATTATTCTCTCTCTCTCTCTCTCTCTCTCTCTCTCTCTCTCTCTCTCTCTCTCTCTCTCTCTCTCTCTCTCTCTCTCTCTCTCACTCACTCTCTCACTCTCACTCTCACTCTCTGTCTGTCTGTCTGTCTGTCTCTCTCTCTCTCTCTCTTTCTCTCTCTATCAATCAATCTCTCTCTCTCTCTCTCTCTCTCTCTCTCTCTCTCTCTCTCTCTCTCTCTTTCTCTATCTATCTATCTATCTATCTATATATATATATATATATATATATATATATATATATATATATATATATATAAATGTATCACAACGTAATCATAATTAGATATTTCGAAAGTTCTTCCTCCACTCTTTTGGTTTATTTCCAACAACAAAATATCAATCAAAATAATACAGCCATCTGCCGAGTGACAGCGACTGCCCACTATGACCAACGAATGCGATGATCCGCCGTTCATTTCAGGGTCGAACATTCCGAGCAATAATCGAGGACTATTTGGCTGCGAGCAAGCACTCCCACGACGCGCTTCTCAAGCAGTTCAGTGAGGGGGACGGAAAGATTGCGTATGACGTAACTTTGGAGAATCTGAAGGTGGTGTACAGTTTTGTTTTTCCTGGGTTCGTTGAGATGAAATTTGTATAAGTAGATGTGCTTCTGTAATGTAGATAGGTAGATGGATAGCCTGTATATGAATGTGTGCGTGTAGGATATATATATGTGCGTGTGTGTGTGTGTGTATGTGTGTGTGTGTGTGTGTGTGTGTGTGTGTGTGTGTGTGTGTGTGTGTGTGTGTGTGTGTGTGTGTGTGTGCATACATACATACGTGTGTGTGTGTGTGTGCATACATACATACGTGTGTGTGTGCATACATACATACGTGTGTGTGTGCATACATACATACGTGTGTGTGTGCATACATACATACGTGTGTGTGTGCATACATACATACGTGTGTGTGTGTGTGTGTGTGTGCGTGAGTGCATACATACATAAGTGTGTGTGTGGTTGTGTGCATACATACATACGTGTGTGTGTGTGCATACATACATGCGTGTGTGTGTGTGTATATATATGTATGTATTTATATGTGTGTGTTTATATATATATATATATATATATATATTTATATACATAAATATATTTATATGTGTGTGTGTGCATGTATATGTATATGTATATATATACATATAATATATATGTATATATATGTGTATATATATGTGTGTGTGTGTGTGTGTGTGTTTACAAACACATACATAGATATATAACAAATATATAAATGAATGAATTTATATATATATATATATATATATATATATATATATATATATATATAAATGATAGATAGATAAATAGACATGTATTTATTTGTATAACTTGTTTTCGAGGAGGCATAAGATTTCCTCTCTTTCCGCAGACAAACTTCCCCCAATACATCAGGGAGCTACAAGGGATCGCAGATGGCGCTCGAGTGCCTTTTCAACACGTAGGTCACGTTTGTTTTTCGTATTAGTTGTATTATTCCGATTACTGATCATTTTCTTCTTTTACGTCTTTATTTTTCTCTTTTTTTTCTCTCGAATCTAATTTTATTTTGTTCATTTATTTATTTATTGGTTTATATCTATACGTTCTTGTATTTTGTTATATATGTTTTTGCTGAAACGTTTCGCTGCAGTTATTAAAATCATTCATTCTTTGAATGATTCTTTGGTGTGTATATAATTATATTCTTCATTTGGTATATTATATATCTTGTAAATATATATAAGGTATACAAGATTGACAAGCATTGGCAGTAGAAGTATAATATACATATATATATATATATATATATGTGTGTGTGTGTGTGTGTGTGTGTGTGTGTGTGTGTGTGTGTGTGTGTGTGTGTGTGTGTGTGTGTGTGTAATTAAGATTTGTAGAGGGCAGAAATTCTTCAGGCTCAGTCAGTAGCACTGAAATTCTTACGATGCAAAATAATTCCAACAGCTGATGGTTCTGCATCTGGTGACAAGTCTCCGCCCCGGCACGCACGACCTGCTGACTTCTGCCACCAGGCCTAATCTCGGCTGCACGTCTGTCAGTCTCAACAAGGATGGGGAGGTGAAGGCAGTTTGTGTGATTAAATTCGGGTTGCCATACGTCCGTATTTTCCAGGATCCATGTCGGTTAATTATTCGTCTGAAGAGTTCGAAACGTTACGATATTGTTTCATTTCTTATTGTGGCTATTCATATAAAGCTAATTTTGTTTAATTTTATCGAAATGATTCTGTGTTATGCTTGCTTTCCATCATATTAGAAATTATATTTTTAGAAAATGAAGCTGGTGGTACAGATTAACAGTATACAAATATATATAACGCCAAATACTGTAAATACTTTGTGTTTGTTAAGTTGATGAAGGTGGAATTATTTTACA